GCTGACTGTTAAATTTCATTTGTGAGACTCGCTCAGACTTCTGCGCTCTGATTTACACTTCTTCATGCAGATCGAGCTTTACGCTGTGGAGGATCGAGAACTTGTTTGATTGATACAGCTATTCAAGAAATTCGTGTCCTAGTGGCACAAAATTTCAATTTTTCCCCCCAGCGCCATCCCTGAATACAGCTGCTGCGCAGCGCAGCAGAGCTGTAACGCCCTGTGGCTTGCTCGATCCGGCTAGATCCGAAGATATCATGTACCGCCTCTGCGGGTTTGTTTGTCGGTGTTTGTGCCCATGGTTCAAGCACCCATGGTCACTACACCCACATCCACCACCCATATCCACCTTCATACAACAGAATACCTCGATTTCAGATATTCACGCCTGCATCACGCCCACCTCAACGCCTCACGAAAACACTTGGATGGCCGGTCGGCCATCCAATGTTTGGTCAACTATTCCATTGACAACCTCATCCGGAATGGAAACCTAAACGATCTATCTGCGCATACCGACAACCACGAGTCGAACATTTGGTCCAGAATCTCTCAAAAGGGCGGCCTTCGAATCATTTCCCCCCTCATGACTCAAAATTTGTCATCAGCCAATCGAAAATTCCGTATTTTGCATTTAGTTACTCACACTATGGTCAACAGAAAGATTTCCAATGTTCCTTTGTCGGTGTTTCTATCTTTTCTCATGATTGTTTTTCCTCCTGCTGTTGTAATGTTTGTATCTCTTCCTTCATCGCTTGCTTCTTCTGACATGAATGTGTCTCATCATTCTTCTACCAGGTCCGCCAACGGCCAAGTCGATGTTATGTCACGGGTGCTTCGTACCCGAAGCTATCAAGCCCTCCTGGGCCGAGGCAGAGCTGTGTAAGTCATCATCGCACATCTTTTTGAAAATCATGTGTCATTTTCATTGACGGTTTCTTTTGTCTAGAATGCCCGGTCCAACCAGGCCTGGTGGTTCGATATTCGCCAGTTCCAGTGGTCTGACAATGGCCCCTCCAGTGACGTCGCCATCGATCTTTGATAGCCTTTCTCCTGTCACCTCCCCCTTCAAAGAGCCTTCGAAATCGAACCATCACTTGAATGCTCTGTATACTCCGGAAATGGCTAGTTCTTCCGGTCTCTCCCGCTCGGCCTCACAATCGTCTTTGGTTTCCAATCCACACATCAACCCCAAGATATTTGATACCCCACTTTCATCGCAAAACACTCCCGGTGGCTCTCCTGCGACGGTCTCCAGTGTCCTGCCTACTGATCTGCAAGCTCATTTGACTTCTTCAAAGAAGAGGCCCGCGAGTGTTAGCGACGTTGACCGTGATCTTCCTGAAGATGGTCACCTGTAGCTACTAGCCTTCTGGACTAGTATTCGAAGAAAAATAAGACTTTATGGTCGGATAAAAGCCGATACTCTCAACAAGAAAATGCCAACGCGTCCGACAAGTCGGGCGCCCAAATTTTACATGTCTTTTTCTTCAAATTCTTCCTCCCGACGTGTCCGACACCACCAAAACTTCACAAATTCACTAAGTCCAACACGCAGCACCACTTCACAACTTCACATCTCACAAGAACCCAAGACCACAAGTTCACGGCCTTAACTTAACTAAATCCCACAGTCAGATACTTCACAAAGACTCACAAGAGCAACACTCACGATTCACCTCCTCAACACACAACTTCACCAGTTCACACTCACAAAGAACCATTCACAACTCGTCAATACACCTCAAGATCCTCTCGATCACATTCTTATTGACATGTCCTACATTCCGATCAATAAGGAAGGCAATCCATTCCTTCAAATACCTCCGGATGGGACTATCCTCAAAGATCTCGAAGCCTTGTATGCGTATCTTGATCCTCTCACCGTCGACCATGGATACAAGTTATCGGTTCTAGACTCTCGTTACCCCACCATGGACGCCTACATCGAGTTCAAGTGTTACAAAGGCCCTACTCGCCATGCAAGATCTCCTGGAGACTGCCCATTCTATGCTTGGGCAG